GGCATACTTTAAAGCACAAAACATTATTAGGGCTAAAAAGGTCACTACATCATAGGATGAACACAGTACTAGGAAAATAAAATTCTGAACTGCTTTGTACCTATTATCAGTCTCAAAATACAGAAAGCAAAATATAGAAAATTACCAAGAGAAATCAACAAATTAATAGTCCTGAAGTTTTAAGAATGGTCTTCTTTATAAATCAAGAGTAGTAATCACAATAAAAAGAAATGGGCTGCCCCAGATGGTGAAGAAATGGTGATTTATAGACTGGATTCCTGCTGTATACTACTTAAATAAAAATAGGATCATGAGAAGGTTAAAAGTAAAAGGATGGGAAAATATATTAGAGATATAAGACAAAAAGAAAGCTAATATAGTCTTCACAGGAACACAGACACAAAAAAAGAAGGGAAATTTAAGTTTTGGGAAGGAGGGGAACAAAGGAATTCTAATTCCCAGATAACATGTTTACCTACATAGAAAATTGAAGAAAATCTACACACATACTATTAGAACTCATAAAAGAGTTTGGCTGGGTTTTTAAAATATATGCATTTATATGTAAGTATTTAAAATTCACTTGTATCACTGCATGCCAGTAAAAACAAAAGACTGAAATCTTTATGGAGTTTACAAAACCCAATTGGACAAGAATGGAGACCTAAATAAATGGAGAGGTATACTATGTTCATGGATAGAAATATAGTACTGGAAAGATTTGAACTCTCCCAAGTTAATCATTAAGTAAGTCAGTGCTGCTTTAAAAACTCTCATGGAGGTTTTAGGATCAAAACAAGTTAACCCTGTAATTAATATGGCAGATAGTTTTAAGAGAGAATAAGGTAGAGGACTTGGCCCTGCCAAAGTCTGATTATATGGTTAGGTAACTAAGACAATACAATTAAATGCTCAGAAACAGACCCATGTATGTGTGGGAACTTAGTATACAAAGAATTTCTGTTCATTTGGGAAAGGTTGGACTAATCAGTAAATGATGCTCATTATTCCTCTGGGAAAAGACAGTATTTTCTACCTCCTATCATACACACCAGGGGTCAGCAAACTTTCTATGAAAGACCAGATGGTAAATATATTTGCTAGGCTTTGCAGGCCATAGAGTCTCCTGTCTCATTCTTTCCTATCCTTGTAGCCATAGATAGTATGTAAATAAATGGACATGGCTATGCTAAAATAAAACTTTATATAAAAACCTAGGGGTGGGCCTGATTTGGCTCATGGGCTGTAGTTTCCCAGTCTCTGATAGATAAATTCCAGGTAGATAAGAACCCAGAACTTTAAAAAGCAAAACTTGAAACCATAGGAGACAATATAGGGGGGAAATCTGATTTTGGGGTAGGAAAAGATATCTTTTTTTTTTAATTTTTTAATGTTTTTTTATTTATTTTTGAGACAGAGACAGAGCATGAACGGGGGAGGGTCAGAGAGAGAGGAAGACACAGAATCCGAAGCAGGCTCCTGGCTCTGAGCTGTCAGCACAGAGCCTTACACGGGGCTCGAACTCATGACTGTGATATCATGACCTGAGCCAAAAGTCGGACGCTTAACCGACTGAGCCACCCAGGCGCCCAGGAAAAGATATCTTAAACAATAAGACAGGAAAATACAGTACACATAATGAAAATTGAGCTAATTAAAGTTTAAAACTTCCATGCAATAAAGTTTTATTTATTTGTTTATTTTTTACTTAAGTAATCTCTATACCCAACATGGGACTCAAACTCATGGTCCTGAGATAAAGATCATGTTCTTTCCACTGAGCCAGCCAGGTGCCCAAAGCTTCCATACAGTAAAATATACATAAGGTATTTGCAACACAAATGATTAGTATCCAGAATACTATGGCATTCCTACCAATAAGTAAAGGATGAAGGACATGAATAGGCAGCCCATAAAAGAGGAAACCTAAACAGCCAATAAACATGAAAGGTATCCCCTCAAAGGAAATCAAGGAAGTGAGTTCAAAACACCATCAAGTGACATTTGAAAAATTTATATAGCTACTTTCATTAAAAATACCCATCATCGGGGCGCCTGGGTGGCTCAGTCGGTTGAGCATCCGACTTCGGCTCAGGTCACGATCTCACGGCTTGTGAGTTCGAGCCCCGCGTCAGGCTCTGGGCTGATGGCTCAGAGCCTGGAGCCTGCTTCCGATTCTGTGTCTCCCTCTCTCTCTGCCCCTCCCCCATTCATGCTCTGTCTCTCTCTGTCTCAAAAATAAATAAACATTAAAAAAAAAAATTAAAAAAAAAATACCCATCATTGGTTACCCAACAGTTCCATTTCTAGTGTTTTATCCTAGAGAAATTCTTACCTATATACATTGGAAGACACATACTAGATTGTTGATCACATCGATGTTTGTGATCATGAACACTGGGAAATAAAACTTAAATGTTTATTAACAGGAAAATGGGTAAATAAAAGTGCATTTTAGGAATGAAGCAGCTAAAGTGAATGAACTAGAGCTACATGAATCTACTAGAATTGCATCAGTACGGACAAAAGTGAAATTATGGAATGGATACAAGTGTCAGATATGTATAGAAAAATACTGTTTATGTACTTTTAATTTTTTTAAGTTTATTTATTTTAAGAGAGACAGTGTGAGCGGGGAAGGCGCAGAGAGCAAGGGAGAGAGAGAATCCCAAGCAGGCTCCGAACTGTCAGCACAGAGCCCAGTGCAGGGCTTGAACTCATGAAATCGTGAGATCGTGAGATCATGGCCTGAGCTGAAACCCAACGTCAGGTGCTTAACCGACTGAGCCACCCAGGTGCCCCTATGCAATTTTTAAAGATGTACAGAATAATAGCATTTTTAAAAGTCATTTGTAGGAATAGTCTAAAAACATACAGGGCAGTAAACATCCAATTCAGGACCAATTTATCTCCGGGAAGGGAAGAAGGGCAATGGGATCAGGTAGTGGTTCATAGGATCCTTTAACTATACGTATAATATTTCAGGGGAGGGAATAGGTAAGTCAGACCTCTAATATTTGGCAAAGCTGGATTGTGTGTGTACTTTTATGTTTGAAATATTAACTAGGAGATTTGTAAGATGAGAATGTATTGAGGGTGATGGAAGTGGAACTGTGAAGATATATTTTGGTGGTAAAGTCAGTCGGTCTTAGAAGTGGTTTGGGTGTAGGAGGTAAGAGAGAGGCATGTTAAGAATGACTTCCAGGTTTTCGGCCCGAGAAACTGTGGTGATCGTGTCATTTGTGAGAGAAAAGACTGAGGTAGAATAGGTTTGGGAAAAGATGGTACGTTCCGTTTTGGACTAATGTTATTATGGAAGATGACAGGGAGATGGTTAAATTTAAGGTCAAAAAGGATTTAAACTAGAAATAGAAATAGAGGATTCACAACTTACGTTTGGTATTGAAAGCCTTAAGAATGGGTAAGCTCAGCCAGGAAATACGTATGTGTATATAGTGAAAAGAAAAGGTGCTCAGACCCTTTCCCTGAGAAACTCCCAGTGGGCACTTGGAGAAGTTGGCAAGGTGGTAAACTGAGAAGGAGCAGCTGGAAAACCAGGAGAGTGGAGTGCTATGGAAGCCAAGACAAGTTCACGTTTCAAGTGGGAGATGTACTCAGTTGGCAAATGCCGTGGTGAGGGCTGCAACCCAGTCCCTTCTACTGCATTTCCTTGTTTGATCTTCCTAAGAGTAGTGATCAGTACCTGCAGTGATCTTATATTTGTCCGTGTTGGTCTCCACATTCATGCATGTAGACTTCTTGAAGGCAGGACTGCTCTTTTCTGAGCCAGGAGAGTATCTAGCACATTCGAGGCACTCAAATAACTTGTTGACGGATTGATTTATCAGATACCGCGGGAGCTAGTTATTTCCTGCTACTGGTGTTTAGTGTTTAAGAGCACAAGTAGAGAGATGGTCACATTTTGAGATTTCTTATTTTGATTGGCTTTTCGTGGTGAAGTTAAAGAAAATTTAATGTTGAAAAAAAATAGAAGAAAAGTAAGAAAGGTTAAAAATAGTCTTAGGTTAGATCCTGTAAGAGTTCACACTTTGCTTAAGCCGCCATGTACCTTCCTTTCTTGGATATTATATTACTAGCATACTTGCAGTACAATTTCTACTGTTTTCTGTAATGGAGAAGAAACTATATAGCTTTTTAAGAGAAATTGTTGGGCCTTGATTGAGTTTTAGAAGTTTAGAAGGTAAGTTTAGAATGTTTGTATTGGATACTGTGAGGGTAATACACAAGAAGTAAGATAGAAGATACAAAGAACTCTTTTCCTCAGGATGTATCTAGTAGTGGGCATCTTTTTTCAACGTTTATTTATTTTTGGGACAGAGAGACAGAGCATGAACAGGCGAGGGGCAGAGAGATAGGGAGACACAGAATCAGAAACAGGCTCCAGGCTCTGAGCCATCAGCCCAGAGCCCGACGCGGGGCTCGAACTCACGGACCGCGAGATCGTGACCTGGCTGAAGTCGGACGCTTAACCGACTGCGCCACCCAGGCGCCTCTAGGCATCTTTTAATAATATTAGTTAACATCCTAAATTTACTGTGTGCCTGTTACTCTCCTACACCCTTTACAAATATTTATTTTTTTCACCCACGACCCTCTAAGATAGGTGTTATTACTGACCTAATTTTATACATCAAGGAAATTGAGACCCAGAGAAGTAACTTGTCCAGGATCACATGGCTGTGTAATAAGTGGCAAGCTAGAATTGGAACCCAGGTGTTCTGCATTGTCTCTCCGTAAGCACACTCCGTGCTTGTGCTCTTGGATGAATGAATGATGTTCAAAGGTCACTTCCTTAGAGAAACTTCCCCCGACAATTGTCCTGCCCGGTCTCCCTCCCAAGGCACTTATTCTATTATTGTATTGTATTGTATTGTATTTGAATATTCATCTGTGAGAATAAAGCTTGTCTAATTTTTACAGCATATAGAATGGATCTTTTCGACTGTAAAAGTTGCTCACGATGCTCTTTTATCTTCTAGTGAAAGGCAAAGAACAAGAGAAGACCTCAGATGGCAAGTCAATTAAAGGTGAGTTCCACGTCATTCCATTGTATTAAAAAGTGATGGGGCGCCTGGGTGGCGCAGTCGGTTGGGCGTCCGACTTCAGCCAGGTCACGATCTCGCGGTCCGTGAGTTCGAGCCCCGCGTCGGGCTCTGGGCTGATGGCTCAGAGCCTGGAGCCTGTTTCCGATTCTGTGTCTCCCCCTCTCTCTGCCCCCCCCCCGATCAAACCCTCTTTCTCCCTTTCCCCAAAAAAAAAAAAAAATTTTTAAAAAAAAAATTAAAAAAAAAAAAAAAGTGATGTGTTCTGCATTTATAGGCTATTGAATCCTGGTATCTTCCCCCTTCTTTCGCCATTATTCGTCTCTGTCTTCTTTTAGAATTAGGGTTGTAACTTACTTCCTTGTTCAGCCTATATACTTACTAGCACATGATAGGCTTTTTACTAAGCGCTTGTTGGCTGTCCTAGTGATACAGTAAACCAGTCCTTATTAATCACCCATTTGATTGTTCCTAAAAGCAATTAGTTGTCTTTCTATTAAAAAAACAAGGGGCGCCTGGGTGGCTCAGTCGGTTGAGCGTCCGACTTCAGCCAGGTCACGATCTCGTGGTCCGTGAGTTCGAGCCCCGCGTCAGGCTCTGGGCGGATGGCTCAGAGCCTGGAGCCTGCTTCCGATTCTGTGTCTCCCTCTCTCTCTGCCCCTCCCCCGTTCATGCTCTGTCTCTCTCTGTCCCAAAAATAAATAAACGTTAAAAAAAAAAAATTAAAAAAAAACAAAAAGCGAAAAATACTCTGAACCGAGCTGACAGCTAAGTGAAAGAACTACCACTTCTAAGGCTTGGTTTTCCAGAAGTGTGGATGATCACAGCTTGAACTTCTCTGTTACTTTGGATGAATGGTCTTAAAATTTATTCAGAGTACTTTATTGTAGTCAATATATTGCCCTTATTTATAGGTTAGAGCATGCTTTTTTAGGTTGTGATCCCTACTATAGTTTTGACTGATTTCATCATGTCCATGTACAAAGATTGGAATGGAAGATTATGATGGAAATTGTTTCTATAGCTGTTACATGTAAGTTTCTTCAAGAAAATTTATTTACATGAAATCTGTAGATTGCTGCTTAGATTTTTCTTTCAAATGTTTGTTATGTAGCTAGCAGTATTAACTGTATATGATCAATTTGCCAGAGAGACTGATTATAACTTAAGAGATTTATAAAATTAGGGGAAAACTAGGGTAGCTTGCAGTCTTATTTTCTGCTTATTTCTGATAATTTAAAGCCAGTTGGATTCCACATTGGTTCATACTGCCCTCTTCAAGCAAAATTTGATTGGCTTCAAGCCCTTAGCAAGCAGTGTGTGTGAAGACAGGATCTGATTGTAGAAGGAACAGACTTTGATGTCTCAGGCACACAGATCTTCTACTCTAAACTCTGCTACTAACAGTATGACCTTGGGAAGTGATGTAACCTTTTTCGGTTCTTTGTTGCAGAATGAGCGAACTGGCCTGCCTCACTTTCTAAGTCTATACGAGGCTAAAAAGTTCCATGTTCATACTCTGACAATATATAATCTGTGCTTACCTGACTTACCTTGGAATAATACAGAAGCAAGACAGGAAACAGGCCCTCACGAAGTTAGCAGTCTGATTAGAACTTAGATGCAGAATAGTAGCAAATACCCCAACATACTAATAACTACCATTTCTTGAGCACCTGTTCTCTTCTAGGCATTAGCCAAAAAACTGCGGCTGTAACAGTGAACAAAAAGGACTTGGATCCTGTAGTCCTTGAACTTATAGATTGGTAGGGGAGAGGCATGTTAATCAGGTGATTCCACAGATGGCATGGGCTAGAATCTGTAGTGATGGAAATAAAGTGATCTGGATAGATCAGTTTAGAGCTAAAATGGATAGAACTTTGTTACTGAATAAATAAGAGATGTAAGGGAAAGGGAGGTTTAAGGTTGACACCTACTTTTCTGGTTTGTCCAACAGTGAGACTGGTGGAGAACCAGGTTGGGAAATTATATGTTCAGTTTTGGCATGTTGGGTGGGAGATACTTTGCAGACATTTACATATATTTTATGCACACAGTAATTCTAGAGTCTGAGTTCCCATCCAGAGGTGAAAGTGATTTTCTAGAGTCTGGCAGACCAAAGTTGAAATCCGGCATGTTGAAACAAATGACTCTTTACCATCTCGTTGACTTCTGGCAAAGTATTTAACTTTTGTCTGTGTCCACATCTCCAAAATGGGGAAAATACTGGTCCTGCAAAATTGTTGTGAGAAATAATGAAATAACGTACCCCCAAAAACGTCTGTGAAGCAACCCGTACTGCATTGGTAGCTCTTGTTTTCTAGTTTTAGCAGGAGAGGCCCTCAATATGTTGACTTCGTTAAATGAAGTGCTGTGAGGAGTTCAGAGGAATTTGAGATCAGCAAATGGTTTCTGGAGTGTAGGGAAGACTATAGAAATGGGACTTAACGTATCTAAAAGTTGAAGAAGAAGGATTTGAATGAAAGAGGCGATTTTGTCTCTTTTTCTCCTACCAGCGCAGCTTCTTGTTTCTTTGGGTATATGTTGGGCAGAGGGACCTTCATCCAGACAAGTAAAGATACTTTTACAGAAGAGTGATATCCATCATGAGGGTCATAAAGACCAGAAAAGAGAGTTGAGACAGAAAAATAGGGAGCCTGCAGGCTATTGAACAGGATGTTGATGCTTTACATACAGTATTTATGAAAGGTTAGTTTGAAAGCGTTTTGTAGAAGGAGATCCTAGAAGTTCTTTTACTGTAATGCAGAAAGGCCTATATTAAAGATGTGGTGTTGATAATAAACAGACAAGTAGATGTTTAAAGATCTTGAAGGAAAAGTCAACAGATCTTGGCAGGTAAACACATAGAGCGAAAAAGAATGGGTCCAAGATTTTGAGCTTTGGAGACTTGCAGATTGAACAGAGACAGGGAAATTGAGTAGGAGATTTAGTTTGGAAGAAGATGCAGTAAGTTTGATATTTGGACAAATTGGTCTTGATATGGTAAAGTCGAAGTGAGAATAGCTAGTAGTAAGTTGTTACAGGATCAAAGCCCAGATCAAAGGACAGGTCTCAGATACAGGTCAGGGGTTCTCAACTGGAGTTCTAGTTCCACACAGGTACAATCTAGGAGCTGTTGCTGGAGGTCCAGGGCATGAGTGAGACTCTCCCCTTGAATCCGCCAGTTACTAGTAACTCTCTTTTTAAATCTCTTTTAGATATCTATTTAGGTTTTAGATACTTATTTTATTTAGAGATTTGTTTTACAGGTGTATCAGGGTCCTCACTTAAGTTTATTTGGGGGGAAAGAAAGAGCGTGTTTACGGTTTAAAAAAATGTTTGAAAAAGATTGCTGTAGCAATAATTTGAGGTTTGAGAATAAATGTTGTTTCTAGCAGGAAGAATAGAAGAACAGAGAACCTCAGGAAGAGGGGGTCCTGAGGAGTCATGGAAGGAGATCATATCTGACACAGTGGACTAATAAATGTGTTCTAAGGGCTTGAAAGGGAGGCACAGATAAAAAAGATATTTTCTGTAGAAAAGTAAATTAAGGAGCACATAGTACCATGGAAACCAAAGGAAGGTAGACTATCTGGAAGCAACATCTAAAATAAGGGGCGCCTGGTGGCTCAGTCAGTAAAGTGTCCGACATCGGCTCAAGTCATGATTTCACCGTTTGTGAGTTCGAGCTCTGTGTCAGGCTCTGTGCTGACAGCTCAGAGTCTGGAGCCTGCTTCAGATTCTGTGTCTCTCTCTGTCTCTGCTCCTCCCCTGCTTATGTCCCGTCTCTCTGTCTCTCTCTCTGTCTCTCTCTTCCTCAGAAATAAAATAAACATTAAAAAATAATAATAAGTCAATAGTTCTAATAAGAAAGAGGAGAAATAAATAAATTAATAGCATTTTGTATCATTATATACATCTAATAAGGAAACCATTAATCTTACCCGTTCTTACAGAATGTTATTTGTAGTTTGTTATCTATACAAAAAATCATTATTGCTTATAAACTTGCTAAAATGATTTTGCTCTCTTCAATTTATTGTGAAAGCAAAACAAAAAACAAGACTTGATTCTAAAACTGAAAAAAATCTCTTGAAGACAACTCCATTTTGTAATTCTCCCAACTCTTGTTGAATGACTGGTAAATATAGGTACCCGACACATAGGTATGGACATTCATGTTCTTACCTGCTTTATCCTATTTATCAAAATGTCTCGAAGAGTAAGAGAGTGAATTACAGTATGCTGTACTCTTCATAAGAAATGTTACCTGGTATTGCTCAGAATCTGTGGGAAGTGTTTGCTGAGATTGAGGAGTGCTTATCTGTTGGCAGTGTAGTAAAATAAATAGTGTTGGTGGCTACAAGTTTAGTTATCTAAGAGTATTTATCTTGAGGGTGTGGGGTATGGAATGCTAGGTGACCTGTATCTCTTCTATCCTTCTCGCTATAGCAATGTGCTAAACCAAAACTTCTTCAAAACCTTGAATAAGAGTCATTGATATTTGGGGGGATAGCTAGAATTTTGATCCAGCCGTGTAGCAACAAGGTCACAGGATTACTTTGACAGTATTATAATATTGAGTTGATTATTTCCTATTAATAAATAGGTGACTAGTCTCTTTATTCTGACGTCAATAGGATCTTTCTTCAGACTACTAAAGAAAGTATATTTTGTGAATAGAAAAATTGTTTTTTAATGTTTATTTATTTTTGAGAGAGAGAGAGAGAGAGAGAGAGACAGAGCGCAAGTAGGGGATGGGCAGAGTGAGAAGGAGACATAGAATCTGAAGCAGGCTCCAGGCTCTGAACTGTCAACACAGAGCCCGACGCGGGGCTCAAACTCATGAACCACAAGATCATGCCCAGAGCCAAAGTCAGATGCTTACCTAAGCCACCCAGGTGCCCCTATTTGTGAATTTTTTAAGTGTGCTTTATGTTTAAGCAGCTTGAAATGTGATTAGAAATGTTTTTTATTAAATAGAGAAATTTGTTACCCAATTAAAAAGTAAAATAAGGGGCGCCTGGCTGGCTTAGTCATTAGAACATGTCACTCTTGATCTCAGGGTCATGAGTTCAAGCCCCATGTTGGGTGTGGAGCCTACTTAAAAAAAAATGAGAATTAAAAAGTAAAAGTAATATAAGCGTTCTGAAGAGTATTTTCTGGTTTCCCCCCTATTTTGTTTTAGTTTTTTGTTCTTTGGACAAAAAAGGATTAAGGAATTGAAAAGGGTCCATATATCAATGTTTCTTGGCTTTGGCACTTTCTATCATCAGAAGTTCTCAAAGCTCTCTGTTTTCAGTTTCGTTTTTAGCACAATATTTTGAGAGTTTTAAATAATAATAGGACATTTCCTTCCAGTTTTCTGCCCCTTGATTGATTTACCTTTCCCCTAAGTATTTTTGAGTGCATTCTTGAGAGGTGTTACAAAATTTAATTTTTAAGGTTCTCTTAAAGCCCTTTTATGAGACAGTTTTAGAGGATCAAATTGCGTTTAACTTTTAACCATTTGTTTTTGAAAAATTACAGCTTCAATATCTGTACATTCCCCACAAAAGAGCACTAAAAATCATGCCTTGCTGGAGGCAGCAGGACCAAGTCATGTTGCAATCAATGCCATTTCTGCCAACATGGACTCCTTCTCAAGTAGCAGGACAGCAACACTTAAGAAGCAGCCAAGCCACATGGAGGCTGCTCATTTTGGTGACCTGGGTAAGTGACTCACTTTTTGTTAACTTCCAATAGAAGGAAGGATTTGAGTGTAACATGTGAAACTCTTGCTGGAGGATACTGGAATTACAATTGGAACAGGCTTTGAAAAAACATATTTAAAATAACAGCTATAAGTATAATGAATGGCACTCTATTGTGTTCCTGTAAGTATAAAATGTGAAGCATTCTCAGTAGAAAAATCGGCCATTTTCAGAAGAAATATATTTGGCTACTAATTATATGAAAAAGATGCCTCACTTCATGCATACTCAGGGAAATGCAAATTTAAATAAGTTTCCCCCAACACATGAGCAGATATTTTTAAAGTTTGATAATTTGAATGTTAATGTAGATGAAGAGAAATGGCCACTCCTATTTAGTGGAAGTATAAATTGATGAAAATTTTTTGGAAGGCAGTTTGGAAGTATTTATCAAAATATAAAATATAAGATCTAGCCCTCAGATATATTTACATATATGCAAAGAGATGTATATCCAAGTATGTGTGTGTTGTTTGTGATAGCAAAAAAGCGAGGAACAAGGTAAATATCTGTTAATGAAGAAGCAGTCAAGTTGTGATATACCTGTATTTGAAATAGTGGGTAGCCATTTAAAAATCTGAAGATAACATAGAGAAATATCTAAGGTGAAAGTTAAAATTTTTTTTTTTAACGTTTATTTTTGAGACAGAGAGAGACAGAGCATGAACGGGGGAGGGGCAGAGAGAGAGGGAGACACAGAATCGGAAACAGGCTCCAGGCTCTGAGCCATCAGCCCAGAGCCTGACGCGGGGCTCGAACTCACGGACCGTGAGATCGTGACCTGAGCTGAAGTCGGATGCTTAACTGACTGAGCCACCCCGGCGCCCCTAAGGTGAAAGTTTAAAAAGCAGGTCGCATAACTGTGTGTAGTAGGATCCCTATTATGTTAAAATAGCTTCTCTTTCTCCCTTGTCCCCCACCCCTAAAGATAAGGAGATTGATGTTTTCTGAATTTTTGTCACCCAGATTTCTGCACTTATAAAAATTGCATATCATGGTATCATAAATTGAAAAAACAATCCCATGAATAAATTGATGTCTAATAAAATTAATCCCTCTTTTGCCATCTTCACTTAACATTAGTGTTTATTCACAGGTGCCAAAGTATTTATGATGGGTCACACTCAGCAGTACATTGCAAACAACATTTGTATTGGTCACAAAATAAAATTGTAAGTTTTACTGGATTACTCCTGTGTTGCTGGTGAGAATGTGAAATGGTACAGCCACTCTGGAAAACAGATTGGCAGTTTCTTATAAAGCTGAATAGGCAGTTACCATATGACCCATCAGTTTCACTCAGCATTTATCCCAGAGAAGTGGAAACTTACATTCACATAAAAAACCTATATACCAATGTTCATAGTAGCTTAAAAACCAAAAACTGACTGTCTTTCCACAGGTGAGTGAATGTGGTTGAATAAACTGATACATCCATGCCACAGAATACTACTCAGCAATAAAAAAGAGCAGACTATTGATATACCTAACAACTTGGATGAATCTCAGGGGAGTTAGGCTGAGCGTTAAAAGCCAGTCCCAAAATGTTATATTTGTGTAGTATGATTCCATCTGTATAATATTCTTTTTATAAATGATTTTTAAATATTTACTTTTGAGAGAGCGTGTGTGCGTAAGTGGGCAGGGGCAGAGGCGGGGGCAGAGGATCTGACTGAACCACCCAGGCGCCTCTGTATAATATTCTTGAAACGACAAAATTAGAGAAATGAAGAACACGGTAGTGTTTGCCAGAGGTTAGGGACAGAGGAGGTGGTTATAAAAGGCCATATGAGGGATCCATGTAGCATTGGAACTGTTGAGTATCTTGGTGGTTACATGTGATAAAATTGCACAGAACAAAGTACATGAGTGAGTACAGGTAAAATGGGAAATCTGAGTAAGATTGGTGGATTGTATCAATGTCAGTACCTTGGTGGGATACTGTACTGTAGTTTTGTAAGATGTTACCATAGGGGAACCTGGGTAAGGGGTACATGGGATCTCTATATTGTGTCTTACACTTTTTTTTTTGAATTTACCATTATCTCAAAATTGAAAGTTTAATTTAGGGGTGCCTGGGTGGCTCAGTCGGTTGAGTGTCCGACGTCAGCTCAGGTTATGAGCTCACGGTTTGTGAGTTCGAGCCCTGCATTGGTCTCTGTGCTGACAGCACAGAGCCTGGAGCCTGCTTTGGATTCTTTGTCTCCTCCTCTCTCTGACCCACTCCCGCACCCGCTCTGTCTCTCTCTCTCTCTCTCTCTCAAAAATAAGCAAACATTAAAAATTTTTTTAGAAGTTTAATTTAAAAAATTGTAATTCTAGGGGTACCTGCATGGCTCCAACTCTTGGTTTCAGCTCAAGTCATGATCTCACTGTTGAGTTCGAGCCCCGCATTGGGCTCTGTGCTGACAGCACGGAGCCTGCTTGGGATTCTCTCTCCCTCACTCTGCCCCTCCCCTGCTCTCTCTCTCAAAATAAAGTAAATAAACTTAAAAAAAATAAAATATTGTAAGTCTTGTAAAGGGTCAGGATTTTCTGAAGTTCGTGAAAGTGATGTTGACCAAGATGCCCTAGTTAACATTGACAATGAGACAGCCAGCAAGGATGATCCGCAGAGAGATTCAAAAGAAAATGATTTGAGTATCAAAGGATGAAGAAAAGCCCTTTTGAAAAATTGATGAAGCCCTTGTTAATTTTATGAAAATGAACCTCAATGTGCCACTGCTGTGAATGTAAAAAATGTTTCTAAATTTTTTGTTTAATAACTAGTTTGTGGTTAGAATCATAACCTAAATTTAGTCTAATGTAAAATGAACATATTTTTATTAAGTTTTATTTAATTTTATTTTTCTAGCTAATCTCCAAGAACTGTTCTTTATTCTGTTGTAATCAGTGCTGAGAGTTGGTAACATTTTTCTAGCTATATCCACACATCCACAATTTTCCTCAGGAAAAGTTCCTAGAAGTGGAGTTACTAGATTGAAAATCCTGGAGATTTCTAAAGCTTTGCTGTCTGTTACTGAGTGCTCCTTCAAAAAGCTTTTCCCATCTTTTCTTCTCATCATCAGTGGGTGACAGTGTTGGCCTATTTTTTCTTTGCCTTTGTTAATTGTTACTTTTTGAAACAACATCTTCCAGTTTGACAGACAAAAATGTGACCTTGTATTAATTTGCTTTTCTGGGATTTTTAACTAGATTGAATATATTTTCATATTTTTATTGGCCTTTTTTCCTTTCTCTGGGACTAGTATCATAAGATTTTTTTTTTTTTTTTTTAAGAATTTACATGGTCTGAACTGCCATTAAAAGAGATAATACTTGAGTTACAGAGAGCTTTTTGATGGATTAAATAAGTTTTGGACAGTTGTTTCTTTGCTTGTTTAGAAGCCAGAACTATAGAGTTTTTAGTTCTTTATTCATTTAAATTGCTAGGGAAGTAAACTTTATTCAAGAATTCTGGTACCACTGATGCTAAAAGTGACTGACTTACCTGTCAATCTTAAATTATTTGTTACTGAGCTGCTAATCTTTTGCTTCTTTTAGGCAGATCTTGTCTGGACTACCAGACTCAAGAGACCAAATCCAGTCTTTCAAAGACTCTTGAACAAGTCTTACATGACACAGTTGTCCTCCCTTATTTCATTCAATTCATGGAACTTCGGAGAATGGAGCATTTGGTTAAATTTTGGTTAGAGGCTGAAAGTTTTCACTCTACGACTTGGTCTCGAATAAGAGCACACAGTCTGAACACAGTGAAGCAGAGCTCATTGGCCGAACCTGTCTCTCCATCTAAAAAGCACGAAACTACAACGTCTTTTATAACTGAGTCTCTTGACAAGAGATTGGAGGATTCTTGCTCAGCCCAGTTGCTTATGACTCAATCAGAAGGAATTGACGTGAATAACAGAACTAGCAACATTCAGAATCACTTGCTGCTTTCCCGGGAATGTGACAGTGCCCATTCTCTCCATCTTGAAATGGCCAGAACAGGAACTCATCAACTTTCCATGGAAACCCAAGAATCCTCCTCCAGACTTCTAGTAGCCAGTAGAAATAGTCCCTCTTCACCACTAAAGGACTTATCAGGAAAATTAATGAAAAGTAAGTATGTGATTTTCTTGTCTCTCTTTATCCTGTTTGGTTTGTTTGTTTAATCAGTTTACAAAGTAGAACTTGAGGGGAATAGAAGGGTTGGAATCGTTTTCTGATTGATTGATTGATTGATTGATTTAAATCCAGGTTAGTTAACATATAATGTAATAATGAGTTCAGGAATAGAATTTAGTGATTCATCACTTACATGTAACACCCAATGCTCATCCCAATAAGTGCCCTCCTTAATGCCCGTTGCCCACTTAGCCCATTCCCCCACCCATCAGCAGCCCTCAGTTTGTTCTCTGTATTTAAGTGTCTCATGGTTTGTCTCTTTCTGTCTTGTCTTATATTTGCTTCCCTTCCCCTCTGTTCATCTGTTTTGTTTCTTAAATTCCATTATGTGAGTGAAATCATATATTTGTCTTTCTCTGACTGACTTATTTCACTTAGCATAATACACTCTGGTTCCATACATGTTGTCACAAATGGCAAGATTTCATTCTTTTTGATTGCCGAGTGATACTCCATTGTATATATATATATATACCACATCTTCTTTATCCATTTATCAGTTGATGGACATTTGGGCTCTTGCCATACTTTGTTGTCAATGGTGCTGCTATAATCATTGGGGTGCATGTGCCCCCTCGAATCAGCATTTTTGTATCCTTTGGATAAATACCTAGTACTGCAATTGCTGGGTCATAGGGTAGTTGTATTTTTAATTTTTTGAGGAACTTCCATACTGTTTTCCAGAGTGGCTGCACCAGTTTGCATTCCTACCAGCAGTGCAAAAGAGTTTCTCTTTCTCTGCATCCTCACTGACATCTGTTGTTGCCTGAGTTAATTTTAGTCATTCTGATAGGTATGAGGTGGTATCTCATTGTGGTATTGATTTGTATTTCCCTGATACTGAGTGATATTGAGCATCTTTTCATGTGTCTGTTAGCCATCTGGATGTCTTGTTTGGAAAACTGTCTATTCGTATCTTTTGCCCATTTCTTCACTGGATTATTTGTTTTTTGGGCATGCTGAGTTTGATAAATTCTTTATAGACTTTTGGATATTAACCCTTTATCTGAGATGTCATTTGCAAATATTCTTTCCCATTCCATTGGTTACCTTTTAGTTTTGCTGATTGTTTCCTTTGCTGTGCAGAAGCTTTTTATCTTGATGAGGTCCCAGTAGTTCATTTCTGCTTTTGTTTTCCTTGCCTCTGGAGATGTGTCAAGTAAGAAGTTGCTGCAGCTGAGGCCAAAGAAGTTGTTGTCTGTTTTCTCTAGGATTTTGATGACTTCCTGTCTTATGTTTAGGTCTTTCATCCATTTTGAGTTTATTTTTGTGTATGGTGTAAGAAAATGATCCAGGGTCATTCTTCTGCTCGTCGCTGTCCAGTTTTCCCAACACCATTTGCTAAAGAGACTGTCTTTTTTCCATTGGATAATCTTTCCTGTCAAAGATTAGTTGGCCACATATTTGTGGGTCCATTCTGGGTTCTCTGTTCTGTTCCATTGATCTATGTGTCTGTTTTTGTGCCAGTACCATATGATCTTGACGATTACAGCTTTGTAATACAGCTTGGAGTCCGGGCTTGTGATGCCTCCAGCTTTGGTTTTCTTTTTCAGGATTACTTTGGCTATTCAGGGTCTCTTCTGGTTTCATACAAATTTTAGGATTGCTTGTTCTAGGTCTGTGAAGAATGCTGGTGTTGCTCTGATAGGGATTGCATTGAATGTGTAGATTGCTTTGGGTAGTAATTGGCATTTTAACAATATTTGTTCTTCCAATCCATGAGCATGGAATGTTTTTCCATTTTTTTGTGTGTCTTCTTCAGTTTCTTTTCATAAGCTTTTTATAGTTTTCAGTGTGTAGATTTTTCACATTTTTGGCTAGGTTTATTCCTAGGTATTTTATGGGTTTTGGTGCAATGGTAAATGGGATTGATTCCTCTTTCTGCTGGTTCATTATTAGTGTGTGTATAGAAATGCAACTGATTTCTGTACATTGATTTTATATTCTGTGACTTTGCTGAGTTCGTGTATCAGTTCCAGCAGTTTTTTGGTGAAGTCTTTTGGGTTTTCCACATAGAATATCATGTTGTCTGCGAAGAGTGAACATTGACTTCCTCCTTGCTGATTTGGATGCCTTTGATTTCTTTTTGTTGTCTGATTGCTGAGGCTAGGACTAGAAAAGGTTTCTTTTCTCTTCACACCCACTTGCAGATTTGGAAGGATTTGGATGGAGAGTGTCCTGAGTAGGCTTGGCATATAAAAAAGGAACAGCAGGGATACCTACAGGATTGGATCCTCTAAGAAGGATATTCTCAGAATTAACCAGTGAGGAAGGGTTAAGTGTCCTGCCTTTCCCTTCCACAGAGTTTGAAATCAAATCATTAACCCAGAAATGCTTATTTCATCCTCATCTTATTCTTAATTTACTACCATTTTTTTTTCCTAATATTTTTTCAACGTTTTTATTTATTTTTGGGACAGAGAGAGACAGAGCATGAACGGGGGAGGGGCAGAGAGAGAGGGAGACACAGAATCGGAAACAGGCTCCAGGCTCCGAGCCATCAGCCCAGAGCCCGATGCAGGGCTCGAACTCACGGACCGCGAGATCGTGACCTGGCTGAAGTCGGACGCTTAACCGACTGCGCCACCCAGGCGCCCCAATTTACTACCATTTTAATGAACTTTATAGATGCGGTTATTTGTTAATTGCCAACCGGTGACCTCTGTTGGGTTCTGTGCCAAGTGCTGCCCTTGAATTCCACTTAACTCCAACACCTGTATGAGATTGCCATCCTTAGCCTGTTTTACACATGAGAAAATCATGACTTAGGAAAGTAAAGGAACTTGCCTCGGGTTATAGAATGAGGGGAGGGGAGAGGGTGGAGCTAAAGTTAAAGTCCAGGCATTTCAACAATAGCACCTCTTTCTTGATTTCTTCTCTGTCCATTTGGGAGTTACACCCTCTGAATTTTTCAGCTGTTACCTTCTAGAATTCTGATTAGACAGCCTCCAAGTTTTTCCTCTTTTTTTTTATCTTATCTGTTCTTTGTTTCTTACAGGGCTAGGTGATTTCTTTCTTGGCTTTTCTTTGTTTGCTTTTTCTTTTTTTTTTTCCCCCCTCTAGTAAGACTTTATTTTTTCTGAGCAGTTTAAGGTTCACAGCAAAATTGAGGGGAAGGTACAGAGATTTCCCATATACCCTTGCCCCACACATACAGAGGCCTCTCCCATCATCCACGTCCCCCACTAGAGTGGAACATTTATTGCAGTTGATGAACCTACCTGGGTACCTTATAGTCACTCAAAGTCCATAGTTTACATTAGGGTTCACTTTTGGTGTTGTTCATTCTTACAGGTTTGAACAAATGTATAATGACATGTATCCATCATTTATGGTGTTAGAGTATTTTCACTGTCCTAAAAAATCCTCCGTACTCTGTCTATTCATCTCTTCCTACCTGCTTATCCCTGACAACCACTAATCTTTTTACTGTCTCCATAGTTTTGCCTTTTCCAGAATATCCTAGAGTTGAAATCTATAGTAGGTAACTTTTCCACATTGGTGGTGTTTTCTTCAGATCTGTTTTTTATTTAGTTCATTGATTGTCTCAATATGGGTCTGTCTAATCTGCTGTTGAATAATTTTTTAATGTTATTCTTATTTAAAAGTTAACTGAATTTTTTATTTCTAGAAAAAAATTTTACAATTCAAATTTGCCTCATCATTTTTTAGTTTCTTCTTCCTTTATCCCTTCATCCCACTCTTGAGCCCATTTTCTATTTAAATTTATTAAATATATATTCATCATCTGATAATTCCAATAGCTGTAGTTTTTGTGGATCTGATTCAGTATTTGTTTCTTCAGATTTACACTCTTGGTAGTTTGTGATTTTAGTGGTTTTGACTGTGAACATAGGTTTTTGGATTTTTGTCTGTGGGAATTGAGAAATCTATTTAAATGGGCTTATTTCAGAGTATGTCTACATTTGCATTTGTCCTGCATCTGGGGCCAGCTTCAGTACCATCCATTAGTTTTAGTTACCACTTAAAACTAAAATTTCTACCACTTAAAACCCAAATTCTACCCTATTTGGGTCCTGGGCAACTGCTCTTGAAAAGGCACACTCAAGTCTCTTGACATTGGTGGTTTTCCCAGGTGAATGCCCTTCCCCTCTGTACTTATGCCCATCTTGATTTGCACTGGCTCCTGCAGCTCCACAGTTCTTCATCTGCAATTTAGAAATCCAGAAAGCTTTGACTATCCCAGGTTATTTTTTAAAAGGACGAAACTTGACCTGGACTGGTATGAACTTACTGCAGAAACATAGATGTGTTTGATTATGTGGTGTTGTCCCACATGCTGCTAGAGGATTAACCTGGTTTCTATAAACACAGTGCATTACCTCTATAAAAACTGCCCAGATTCTGAATTCTAAAATATTACTGGCCCCACAGTTTTCAGATTAAGGAATTGCTTGTCCTTGTTTTCTTCCTCTCACTGTTTCCCTTGCTTTACCACGAACTCTGATATACTTTTTTTTTTTTTTTTAATTTTTTTTTTTCAACGTTTATTTATTTTTGGGACAGAAAGAGACAGAGCATGAACGGGGGAGGGGCAGAGAGAGAGGGAGACACAGAATCTGAAGCAGGCTCCAGGCTCCGAGCCATCAGCCCAGAGCCCGATGCGGGGCTCGAACTCCCGGACCGCGAGATCGTGACCTGGCTGAAGTCGGACGCTTAACCGACTGCGCCACCCATGCGCCCCATGTTTAGCATCTTTTTTATAGCTGCTTTTGAGATATTTTCCCTGTCTCCAATGTTCAGCAGTTTGGTTATCCCATCTGAGGTTCACTGAGCTTTTTGATTTTCAAAGGAGGATGTTTTCAGCCATTGATTGTTCTTTCACTTTTTTTTTTTTTTTTTTTTGCCCCATACTTCTTTCTCTTTCTTCTGAGATTTTAATGACCCAAATGTATGTTTGTCATTGTCCTGCA